CGCTTTGTATGTGCTTTGCTGCTTATTAGTGAGACAGATGAATTACTGTTAACATGTGACCAATTTGAATTGCTGTTCAGAAGTGTATAAACATTTACTGTAGGTGTGTGTTTTTCAGTGATATTGGCACCTTTTGGATTAGCGGGAACTCTCACGGGTCAGGCCTACAAGACAATGGATGTCCAAACAAAGCGTCAGTTGGATGAATGGCGCCACTTTTATCCCATCGACACCAAGTTCTCAAGCTGTGAAGCCGGGAGTGAAGAAGTTCTTCTGCCTCTTGCTGTTGAAGTTGTGGTGGGAGGCGTGAAAATGCGCTACCCCACGTGTTACGTGCTGGTTACGGACATGGATGATCCGGCGGCGTCTCCGTCATCAGCCGTTCGCCAGGGCGCTGTATCTCCAACAGGCACGGCAGTGGCCGTAATGAAGACCGTCGGACTTCCGCCATCATCCGCTGCCGTCGTGACACCTCCGTGTTCACCCTGTCCACAGTCCATTACCGCGCGTAGCCGGCCGCCTTGTCCGTCTTCACCCTTTCCTGCAGCAGCAAGTGGTCATCATCCAGCTTCAATGCAACATAGTCCTACTCCAGCAACCAGGCTGCCAGAACATGTTTGGCAGGACAGTACCCTGAATCCTACCCAACATGACAGTACAGAACAGAATGGCGTCGGTAGTGACGGTATTCCCAGTCAACTGCCACAAGCAGGACAGTGGGATTTCACACGAAAATCCACATGCAGCTGCTCAAAGTGAGTTTCTCTTTTACTTGCTAAACCTATATAATAATTTAATAATGTGAGAATTAACATAGTGGAAGTAATTAAGGTAGATAAAAAGTTTCATTATAAGTGATCCTTGTAAGGACATTCTTTTGCCACTACTTCTAAGGATTATGAATAGGAATTTCCATTTAATTTAATTAAATTACAGATAACACTTTGTGATATTAGACTTTGGTTAGATAATTACAGGACAATTGAATGACATATCATTTAGGTGTTAGAAATCAGATGGACTAAGTACATTCCGTTGGTTGCGTTGAGTGTATCTTATCATTACTTTCCTCGAATGTGAATGACAGAAGAAGTTACTGTTTTCAATTGACAGTGAAATTCACCATTGCTTTTTCCAGTGACTTATTTGTGGGTAAATGTTTTTACTCTTTGGTAGTGTGCTTTTTTTAATGGATATTATGGCAATTAGGGCTCTGTGTTTTGATTTTTACATTGCCTTTTAGTAACAAAAATCTTACATTTAGCTTTTCTCATGACAGGCGTTGTCTTGTGGAGCTAAAGGCATTATAGTTTAATGAAGCATGATGACTGCATTTTGATTGTATGTCTTGTTGACACATTATTTTATGAGAATGATGTTATGTGCCTTATAATGTATCTGTGTGCAAAAAAGGCTTTATTTTAGAAACAGTATACCTTCAGTATTTATAGCCAATGCTTGTAAAGTAGATACTCAGATATTATTTTCTGTTTGTTGTGGTGGACTCTCGTCTGTTTTCGTGTTATGTTAGTAAATATTCCATTGTCATTTTGTCTTATATTCAGATGTATTCCTAAATACTAAATATCTGCACAGCATGTGGAGCACTAGCTGTTCTGTCACTGTTTGTAGTACTTGAAAATGTGTTGTTTGTTCCATAGTGATTTGATGTATCAGTCAGTTAAAATATGTAATGATGCAGCACAGTTTGTTGAGCACTTTAGTCTTCAGTTGTTTACCATTCTTTTCACTTAAGTAGGTAGTTCTTTAGGGGTGGAGTGGACGTGGGGGTTGCCCTTTATTTTAGGCACTGTTTATATAAATACACAGGAAAATGTTCAGCCCTGTAGCGAATGAAAACATTAGCCAGTACTACCTGAGGGCAGCTGTGTGACACATCGTGCTTCCAAACTTTCAGGTATAAGAAAGGTGCAGGTGCAAAACATATGGCTCAGAACAAGGGAGGAGTTAATAGTATCGGGGGTGTGAAAACTGTGAAGGGTGAGAAAAACGAGAAGGGTACCCGTGGGTCCGGGCGAGGGGGCACGATGCCATTCCACCGGCGTTCGCCCCTAGCCGAGGAAGGGGCTTGGACTGTCGAGGTGGCAGGGCCGCTCTCGAGGTTCGTATGGCTCGTGTGTCACGTGAAATAATGGCATAACTCGAGAACTAACCGTACTGTAATGTTGGCATTATTGCCCTTGCTACTTGCACCCCCTGTGTTGGGACCTGCCTATCCTTGCCTTCTTGTGCTTGTCTTGAAAATCTCAGCTCCGCATCCTCGTTTGGTTGTTGTTGCTATTATTATTGTTATTACTATTACTATTATTGTTATTTAAAGATAGATTGCTGTGAGCTTTGGTGGAATGGTGTGAATGAATGTAGCTTTGAATGCTTAAGACAACGTAGTTCTCTCAGATCTTCTATTTTGCGGTAACACCACCTCATTAATTTGATGTTGGATAATTTAAAACACTGAGATTTTATTGGGCAGCTGTGCCAGCTTCACAGTGTAAATATGTGTGCAGTTGTATACAGAGTCACTCTCATTTTAGTCGTTACTAAACCGAAGTGTTGCATGAAGCATGCTAGCATGCAACGTTGTGGTACAGGCACAATTTGTTTTGTAATTATTCTTTCAGCATTTTCATGTTTTGAGATACAGTAAATAGTTTCTTACTTGCAGGTATGCAATTTTTTATATATTTTTTTATAGGTACACGTGATACTTTTATAAGAGAACCAGGCATTTTGTTTAAAGTTGGCAGAGTCCAAGCCATATCATTGTGGACAATTGAAACAATTTAAGACATAAGATTAGTGTAATTTTTAGAGGGAGAAAAGTGGAATGCTCGGGAGACAGAAATCAGTCATGTGAAACAAACTCTAAAAAAAAGTTCAGTATTATAGTCAGACTCTTATATGGGCATAAATCAGTTTAAGAAACGCTGTGAACATGGTCCAAACTTGGTAAGAGATGAAAATTTTAATCGGCAAGGTATAAGTCGCCAGGCAGTGATCATATTCTGTTGATCCAAGCACGTTGTAAAACATTACATTCAATAACTCTCAGTTTGGAATAAGAAAGAATTACCACAGCAGTTGAAGAAGTTTGATGAAGTTAACTGAAGTAATGACTGAGGAATATCACTGTGAATCAGCTTAATGTTAAGACCTTGCAGACAAAACTATTGGGGATTATGAGCATGGGTTATGAGAGTACATTAACTTCCGATCAGCTCTGCATTTGTCAGGTAACTAGGGAAAAAACTGTTTTGTAATGGTACGGTTCATTAGGTGTTCTTAGACTTCAAGAAACTCTTTGGCTCAAGAGAGATGTATTGTACAGTATTTTAATTGAAATGTGTTTAAATCAATCTACAGTTGTTCTAGTGCTTTTATTATTTGGAATGCTATGAAACAAGTTGCCTCTTTGTCATTGATGCTTTTAAGCTCTGCTTTAGTTTATATCATCATGAATGTTAATGACTGGAATTGAATGAGACGCACCACATTTGTGGTAAGTTGCTTTGTTTGATATAAACACAAAGACAACTGTTTTAGATGTTAGTGAGGAGCTTGGGTTGAATAGACATTCATGACATAGCCCTTCATTCGACAGTTGCAAAGTGATCACTGAACTCTCAGGTCACTTGTTTAGATTACAAAAAACAAACATTCCTGTTATTAACATGAATGCTGATTGAAGTTGGGATACAAATGCAACAGTCTGAAGTAGAAAATGAGTGGTTAAGTATGATTTTATTTAAAAAGATGTAGCAAATCACCAGCTGGGGATAGAAACATGGGGTTTGCTTGTGCAAAAATTACTGGCTCTTGTTTACAGTGTTGTTTTGTCTGAATCATGGACACTTTATCTGAGCGTAAGTGGTATTTACATTATTCCCCTTATAGCAATCCATTATAGTTCTTTTACTGGGCAACATGGCACGTCTCTGACTCGGTTATCTGGTAAACATCACCACAGCTGAAACATTCCATAAAACCAGGGGATAGCAAAGATGAGAGACAGTGGTGTCATTTTAAATGAAAATATAAAAAGGAAGTAATGTTAAAATGAATGTAAGTGTGCACAGAAGTTGTCATTGACCATGGAGACATGTCTAACTTCATTAACTGTAACCAGCAAATTTAATAAATGTCTGTATAAATCTCATAATAGTTGAAGAGTAACTTAAGTACAAGTTTGTAAGTATTAAGGCAAATACACTGTAGCTGATATTAGGGCATTCTGATGCTGGCTACAGGTAATGAGCCATTCTAATTACAAAGTTTCTAGTTAATGGTGCTAATTGGTCTACAAGGTACTCATCATTTTAATACCTCTGTGGAGTTAAACTGCCAACATGGGATCGTTTATTGCAGCAGTATTGTAAGTGGCTGGACACATTATAATTCCAAATTTCTTCTTTGTGCAGGGTAATGGGAGGTTTAGGTACTCCACCTGGAGGCCTCCCATCATATCCCCATTGTCAGTCCATGACCCCCAACCCACTCCCAAATTTGCACGGTGGAGAATCTGTGCCGGTTCCATCAGTGGGTTCACCCGCCTCTGCCGCGCCATCCCCACTGCCAAATCCTCATTCCCAACCAGCGTCAGTTCCTCCCGCCGATCAAACGATGCCCACTCTGAGCCCACATCCACCACCTTCAAACAGTGGTGCTGGCCAGCCTCAGCCTGCCACCCCTTTGGAATCTCAGGATAAGGTCACACCCTCAGATCTCAATGGCCCAAAGTCAGTTTCGTCAGTATCCAATCAGGTGAGTTGTGTGGAAGAAGGATCAACATTCACTCAAGCAAATTAATTAAAGATTTTGCTTTCACGTTTTTTTAATTTATTCTCGTGGCTATTAGTACAGAATTTGTCAGGAAGCACAATCCAGCTCAGTTACAAATATGTGTGCACATGTACGTGTCTTCATGCATTCATGCAATTTGAAATTATTATCCATAGTGTGTGACAGAAGGAGTTTGTGTATGCTTGCAGTTGCTGTGCTTTCTGATTTAACTTTTTTTATTTATACAGTGTAGGTCTGGTAATATGTTCATAATATACTAAACTTGATTTCATTCTCTTCCTTTCTGAATTTTCTTTCCTCTCAGTAATTATGCATACAAGACTTCTGGTAAGAGGAATGTCATAGATTGTAGCTAATGTAATTATTTTTATTCCAGGTGTTCTCACCATATCCTGCCACTTCCAGTGTAGAGCCAGTCTCAAAACCAGTGGATAGTGTTAGTGGTGGTTCTCAGGGTCCTGCCAGTGCTCACTCAGTGCTGGCTTCAGCCCCTCTCTGCACTACCGCCCCCTCAGACTACCTGACCCTCAAACGACCTGTTCTGTCCTCCAAGGAGTATGAGAGTTTTTTGCTGGAGGAGGACCAACCCTCGAAATTATTATATGATTATTCCACTCTTGATGCATGGTAAGATGCACTTTGATGTTTGACATTTGAATGTATTATTTGCACATCACAGGCCACAGTAACATGTTTATTTCTTCTGGTGAATACTTCCTGTAAATCTTCACAGAAGTACCTTACTTTTCAAATGTAGTGCAGTTAGTTACATAACATTAGATATTGTAAAACTACCTCACATTCATGTTTATTTGCCGTGAAAGTCTCATATCACATACTAGAATGTGTGACTCACCAGTCAGTGTTGCATTCAGATTGTTTTACAAATGTTTAGCATTGAGTTTCTAAGTACGGGTACTGTGACGGTTTTTATTAAAACGTAATGTGTAAGCAAGGCTTGAAGGAGCAGCTGTGGTAAGGAAAAGTAGCTGTCATCTTTTCCTCGCAATATAAATGTGGTAAATAAACCCTGAATATGACTTACGACCATCAAGGAAATGCAGGTAGTGACATTGTAGTTTATTACCTGTGAGGACATGATGGAACAGAAGTATGACTACACAAGTTGAGTAAGTTCAGTCCTTCCAGTACTGCAGACACTGCGTGACTCGTACCCGTCAGCTAAATAAAGTTGCCTCGTCAATCCAAGTGAAGTGGCTGTTCACAGTAAACAAGACCCAGTGCCATTGCAGCCCCAATTTGATATTTGCCGATGTTTAGAATAACAGTTGCATGCTCAAGATGTGTGTGTGCGTTAAAAAGAGTACAGCATTTTGAGAAGTACAGGGTCAGATGTCAAATTTGAATACCTCGAAACACAACTGTACAGAATGCGTTGGTGTATAGGTCACTGGAAAGGGCATTTTTTCAACTTTGAAATTAGCATAAAACGAGCTCTTCTTCTGACTGAATTAGAAGTTTTGCCACTTTTTCTAAGACAGGTTTTTTGATGAATTTGGATGTCTGATGTCAAGAATCTAGTGGCCTTAAAGCAGTCAAATTTGACAGAAATACTTACCTTTCATTGGGACTACAATGTCACAAAAAAATCATTCAGTTTTAAGGGGTAGGTTGTGACCTGTGTTGATTTTACATGATAATTACAGTTACCGATATTTTTAGATTTACACCAAGTTCTTGTGCAAGTCACTTATTAATGATGACTGTTGGGGATATTACATACTGATTTTCTGTTTGTGTCAAGACATATTTTGTAATACTGATGTCATAATAACATCAGTCTGTGTATGGACCTACCAATCTGCAGTGTATACTTCCATTTATCATTCTTAGGTTGAATCATCCGGTGAAGAGATTTAAGCCCTCTGAAACAAGATCAACAGACTCGATGAGACCACCTTACAACAGGCATTCAAGTCCAACTGATCCGTATTCATATAATTTGCAACAACAAATTGTGGCATCACCACCAAACAACCTGAATCAGCCTTTTATCAAGCAGGAGATTAAACAAGAGCCAAGCTGCAATATTCCAGTAAGTTAAATAATTAACGTATTCTTATATAAAATCATGCATTCAAACAAATTGCCACTGATCATGACCTCTTGAGGTTGAAACACGTTTGGTATGAAGCGTCTTTTCAAGTGTAAACAGTTTTGTTTGAATGCATGATTTTATATAAGAATACACTGCACGGTATGCAAGGTTTCGAGATTGTACATTCTTCTTGCCTACAAGTATGAAGGTTTTCAAAAGAAGCAGTTCTTCCTCCGTTCACAGACTAGCATTGCATCAGCGCCTTAAAATACTTTTGAATGAAAAGGTGCAGTGTTGCTTCTAGTATGAGGCAGCCAAATCTGTCATGATGTTAAACTAGCTTTTGAAAGTACCCTCCATGAGGACTTCTAAAGAATGGAACCAAGAACTGAATGAGCAAGGTTGCCTGTGCAAGAAGAATGTGCTAGGGGTGGCTTCACATTTTGGTAAAGAACTCACAAGGCCATGTGTCAAATTATTTTCATTATGATCTGGCTTTTTTCATGCTGTGTTCTCATAATTATTACTCAACATTTTAATAATATTGTGGTCCTACTTTTAAAATGTATTTCTAATTTTCTACTTGTTTTTTAAAAAAGAAATTTTATAATTTGCTTTTTGGCATTCAGACTTTAGGTTGGTTAAGAATTTTGCATATTTTTAATTTATTGATATCATTAGCCATAATTTCAGGCTTAATTTTTTCAGCTATTGGTAATAACTTGCGTCATATGTAATAGCATAGCCTGCAGCCATTATGAGAGAACTGGATCTCGTCCAAGGCTACATGAAGGTTGCCCATGCCTGCTGTACAGTGTTTCGTGTGTAACGTAAAGATATATTGACAGAAGAGAACCAGGGGAGGGGCCAGTAAACATAATTTTTTGTAACCTTCGTAGTTTTCTTCTTCATGATACTGTTACTTTAAGAAGTTGCATGGCCTTAATAAGAAATAGTCTAATTATGAATCATTTAAATTGGAAATGATGCAATAGAAAGTACTGATTGGAAAATCTGTAAAATAACACACCGCAGGATTTGAATTTAGACATGTATTAAGAGACATTGGGATTTGCATTCGTTTGGTTGTGGATAATGTCATCTCTTTGTTTTCCAGATGGAAGTAGACAGTGTTCATCTGAACAAAAGGTCTGATCCGTATGAATTTGAGGATGACATGACTGCACCTGCTGTTAGTATGGAGGGTTTTAAACGAACTAATTCCATTAAGGTATGTGTCATTATTCACAAAAATCCAATATTCAGCGTAAGTCAGAAGTAGCTTTACACATTTAAAATCCTGTAACAGTGTTAGCCATAATCAAAATGCATAGGAAATAGCAAAAATAAATATATTTGTGCCTCAGGTTTCCTTTGCATCTCTTGTTACAGTTATTTTGGGATTGGTAAATGGAAAAATCAAGCATTCATGTATAAAATGCTTCAGACTGAGTAACATATTAATTAGTGAAAAACTAAAATGATTGTGCAGTATGAGACGTCTGAATATTAGGCAAGCAGGGTCGGCATTCGTTGTTGCAGGTAGTATATTCAAAAGAAACTGATTCGGATGCACTCTTGTTTTAAGTTTCTTACTTCCACTTTGGTGTGAAAACCACGACAGTAAAGACCACGCCTATTTATTATCTGTATTTATTCAGTTTCTGAGACAGTTTGGGGAGGTGTCGTTGGTACTTGAAAGGTTGAGAAATGCTGAATTAGATCACAAGCAGTTTCTTCCATACTCTCTGAGATTCATTATTCGGTAATAATCATTATATCATTTGATGCTACTGACAGCATTAAAAAAGTTTTACTTAGTTACAATTTAGCCTGATACAAGGCTTGCACAATGTGTACATGAAAATACAGGTAAAGTGCCTTCTTACTTTGCCGATTGCAGGAGGAAGATCGAAAAGGAGGCCCAGGAAATGCGGTGGGTCCATTTGATCCTGTCACTCCAAATGGACCCACAAACAAACCTACATCTCTTTATACTAATGAAGGTCTTCAAGCATCTTATAAAGATCTTGATCAGATCTTTGATAATTCAGATGACACATCAAGTGATGAAACTGTAAGTGAATTAAATTTAAATATTTTTATAGCAAAAATATTGTTTTTATGGTTGTAAATTATAGCATCTATTTTTAAAGTCCTGTCTGTGTAGATTATGTGTCAGTCAAAGATGAGCACTTCAGGCTCAACCAAAGTTTCATGCTCCCCTCAATCAGTGAAATATTTCAGTCTGTTTTTGTTTTTTTATGATCTTGTTGTACTTGCCTCATTGATGTGCCGTGAAGCTCACGTTCCTGCCCATTATCTGTAGTGACTATCCTTGATTCAAAGCCTGATATAATGACTGTGGTCATTAATGACAGCTGTTTTTTTTTCCATGATAATATAAAATATTTTTCTTCTATAACAAGAGTGCTGTGTGTGACATTTTCTGAAATATCATTCCTTTTGGGTACGTCACATTTGCATTGCACAAAGCGCAGTGAATGAAGTTAAAGGAGAATCGTTACAGGCACCATGATTCCATACAACAGGCAAATATGCAGCATCATGCTACAGCATTTATGAATCTTGTTTACATTATCACGAGGTTTACAGCTCCTTTTAGATAATCCAAATAAAATACCAAATTGAGTATCATTGACAGTTTTGTCATTAGCATAAATGAGGTTTCCCAGAACTGCTACATTTGTTAAGCTGTTGATTTTGAATTCAGTTACAGGTGCCCACTCCTCCAGGTTCCAACAAGCCTGCTGGACTGCCAGAAGATTCAGCTTCAAACAGCGTCGTGGTGAAGCCTCCCCGCGGTAGTGGCGGCAGCACGTCACTCAACAGTTGTGGTGGAACAGGCATCCTGAGGCCCGAGGAGTTGTCAAAGATGTTTCCTACGCCTCCGTCCCTAGAACATAATCCCATTGCATCACCGTGTGGGCATTTGTCTGATGGACCTCTGGGAGAACTTTCAGATGGACCTGTAGGTGTTTGTATTCCCCGTTGCAAACAGGAGATCTATCCAAACATGGGCAGCCCACAAGAGGAGAATATAGACGATTGGTCTTACGTGTTCCGGCTACCTGCAGTGTGCAAGTTTGTGGGTTCGTCTAAGTATGCTCCACTTACAAACCTTCCGAGTCAGAGCCTGCCTCCAGTGACACTGCCATCTCACTTCGTGTACAAACCTTCATGGCAGACACAGTATCAGCATCAACAACAACAACAGCAGCAGCAGCAGCAGTCTGTTGAAAAATCAGCATCCCAACAGAGTCTCATACCTACTGGCTCTGGACCCAACTCAAGACCTAATTCTGTAGCCAGTAATCATCATTCAAGTGCTGTAATTCCACCTCATGCACATCTCCCACATCCTGTACTGCCACCACATCCTCATAGCAGGGCTGGCCTCTCACCTATATCCCCAGCAGCACATTTTCCACCAAGTCCGATGACTTTGGCAGCGATGGGAGGCAGTGGTCTCCCAATTCATTTGCAGCAGCAACTCCGATCAGGCGGCCCCGGTTCGGTCGGAGGCGTTCGAACGCCTTGCCCTGCGCCGCCACCATACGAACTTCCCAGTCCAGCAACTTCAACTGCATCATCCTACCTCAACAAGAATTTAAACTCAGTAGAACCAGCACCAACACCTGTAATGGCTCGAGCTCCAGAAGGAAATTCATTGGTTGTTAACATTCTTCTATGTGATACTGCTCTAAATATCTTTCGGGATCATAACTTTGACAGTTGTACGTTGTGTGTTTGTAATGCAGGGCCAAAAGTTGTGGGCAACATCCGAGGTGCTGATGCTGGAATCTACCTTCCAACTCCACCTCCACAATCACAGTCTGCCTTACCATTCCCGCCGACCTCTCCATTCCCAGGTATGGGAATGAATGGTCCTGCCCCATCATATGTGATGGGCTCATCCCCAGGGCATCATGGTGTCGCACCTAGTGTAATGGCGATGGTTACCGAAGAGGACCCAATAAGGTGCAGTTGTGGGTTTAGTGCTGTTGTGAACAGGAGGCTTTCCCATCGTTCAGGTCTGTTTTACGAGGATGAGCTAGAAATTACAGGTATTGCTGAGGATCCAGGTGACCGTAGGAAGGGTTCACTTTTGGCCTACCTTCTTCCAAACACCAGTAAAAGTGGGCAAGAAAACTTAACTGCAGGTGATTTAGTGGATCTGGTTCCACAGAATGTTATGGAACTGTTAAAAGAACAGTGTGTGATTATTCAGAGTTCTAGTAACTCTTTGTATCGTGCATCGAGACAGTTCCGCGGTAATTTGGGACCCGATGTGCCCTATGGTACGACGGTGAATGCGTTGGAGTTCATGGATGGTAACGACGTGACCCACGTGGCATTAGAACAGGGACGCCAGGCGTTGTTGGAAAGCACGACGGTCGCTATGTGCAAAGTAGAGGAGATGCAGCAGAGACAGCAGCAAATAATGCAACATGGAGGCAGGAGTTCAAATACACCGTGTGTCCACAGGTGGCCTTACCTAAGGGCCATGGGACCTCAATGTAATCAGGACATTGTCTGGGTAATGAAGAGCCTCAGGCCTCTTTTGCAGGAGGTGATCCATAAGAAGTGTACAACCAGACTCTGGGATGCTCCATACACCGTGAAAGGGCCGCTTACGTGGCGGCAGTTCCACAGACTTGCCGGCAGAGGTCAGTATAGTGAGCTGCCGCACAAGTAGTCAGTTTCTAATGGACTTTAATGTGCTGAGTAAAGTTTTTGGACATACAAGCAGGCAGTTTAAAATGTGTGGTACAGGTTCATGCTGCTGTTAGTGCAGTAAAAGTAACCATTCATTGTTTGAATATATGTGTAAAGTGTGTTGCATGTTGGTCAGTAATAACCCTACAATGAGCATTTAGACCACTACAATTTTTTGTCCTTTGTCATGACCAGGTTAAACTACATCAGTTTGCTGGCTGAGGAAGCCATAATAGAATGACAGATTACTTTTGTTAGAAATAATACAGCATTTCCTATTGTTAAACGCATTTATATTTGTAGGTTCTTCGGAGTTTTTGGCTCATTTCCGTTAAATGTTAAAGGGATAAAATATTTGTGGCCAATAATGCACCTAAACAGTAGTGCACTGCGTTCATAAATCTTGAAAACATGTTTGTCACAACGCAGTATATCAGTAAATCATCAAAATGTGGGCAGTTTAACAGATGGAAGAACTCAAAAAATGAAATCCGTCCACTTGTATGTATGCTCTTCTTTTAAATTCTCCACAAAGTTAACATGATTACAGTCGTACGTAGAGTGTCTTTAAAGGGTTGATAGTTTGTGGTGTAAGCCAACAGTGCAGGACTGCCATAGCCCGCATGCAACAAGGTGAGAAATGTCCAGCAACTGCAGTCACTCATTAGACTAATGCAAGTTGGCATGTTTCAGGGACTGATGATCGTTGTGAGCCTCAGCCTATCCCGTCGTTAATGGTTGGCCATGAGAAGGATTGGCTCTCACTCTCACCTTATGCTATTCAGTACTGGGAGAAGCTGCTCCTTGAACCATATTCCTATGCCAGAGATGTGGCTTACATTGTTGTTGCTCCTGACAACGATTACATTCTTCAAAGGGTGCGCACCTTCTTCAGAGAGCTTAGTGCAACGTATGAGGTAAGCGTTTAAGAAACAACTGCATTCAGCAGTTGGCAAACCTTGGGCCGTGCGACTGTATGTTCTGTGTCATAGTCTTAGGAATTCAATTTGTATTACATTTGGAATCTGGTTTTTTAGCACAATTTTTGTCTGTTTTTGCAAGAAACATGCATTCTAAATTCATAGAACAAGAGATCAACATTAAACTTTTAGTAAGATACAGAAACATGCCACTAAACCTGTCCAAGATATTAAGGCAAGTTTATGGACAGGGAACACAGGTTTTTGCATCAGTTAAGCAGTTTCAGTATGGAATGATAGACATTAGAGACAAAACTTTGGACTCAGCAACCTCAAAAGCTGATAAAAATATGGAAAAATTGACTGCAATGGTGAGAAATTATTGCTAATTGGTGGTTTGGAAGACAGAAGAAGAATTGGAACATGAAGATTGTTGGAAGACTGACCTTTTGGATGAAGTAGTGATTATTGATGAGAGATTGGTCATCCAATAGGACCCAGAAATAAAACGATGCAAACACCATCATGAAAGTTGACAATCTCCAATACCAGTGAAGCATTTAAAGTTAACACTTTTTTGAACTTGTTTTTTGTGGCAAAGGAATTATTCATACAAATTTATTCCTCCAAAAGTGTCAACAGACATTCTTCCTTCAAGATTTGGAACATTTGTGGTAGTGCGTCCATTGAAAATGGTAAATCCTTCGCTGGACAAGCAAATTTCGCATCATCGCAGTAATCCTTCCCACACAGCATTTATAGCAAGTGAATTTTGGTCAAGAATCAAACACCAGTGTTGGAATTTAGATTGAGTCGGCTGGGTTGTATCACTATGAAGTATTCTGATTCTGTGGCCAAGACCCTGGGGTGATTTAGCTGAAGGTGGTGGAAGCCAAGGGATGATCTATCCTAGTGAAGGTAAGGCTACTGGGAGTGGGTAAAGCCCCAAAGGAAGACAAGCCTGAGGGAGCAAGAAACCCACTAAAACTTCAGGGTTCTTACCTCAACAGGTGGAAACCCTGGGTGGGTTAATAATCCTGGGAGTCCAAGCATGGATGTTTGTCCGCGTCTTTCTGTGTTGTGCTGTCCTGTCTACAGGTAGAGGCCTTGCGATGAGCTAATCACTCGTCTAAGGAGTCCTACCAAATGTCTGAATAGATGACGCAACCTCCAAAACAGAGAGGAAAAAAGCAGAAGAAGAATAAGATATATATGTACTGCATAAACCCTGACTAGGAGACACCTTGCCCCAGAATGTTGTAATGTACCCACAGAGTATTATTTTATTTAACTGTTTTCCAGTTGGTATAAGGCATTAAGCGCTACTCTTAGCATGCAGCAGAGCCTATATTAAAAGGTGGTTGCTTTAAACTGAGTTGTGATTCATCTGATTAATGATAATGAGGTTTCTGTGAGTGATGGTGATGAAGGATTGCTCAATTTACAAGTCTGTTTCATTTGCCGTAGGTTTGCCGTCTAGGCCGTCACTGCCCTATTACCAAAGTTTTGAGAGATGGGATTCTCAGAGTTGGAAAGACAGCTGCTGTCAAATTGGCAAAGGAACCTGTTGACGAGTGGTTTACAATGCTTGGAGATAATCCAACTACAAATATGCTCAAACTGTATGCTCAAGTAAGTACCTTATCTCTACATAAATACAACAGAGCCTTATAGTCAGCGCAGTAGTTTTTGGCTGGTGGAGAAGCTAGCAGGCGGGCCTACTCTGTGTACCTGAGGTGGCGTGGTCACAGTATTTCTTTTGTTTGGACTTTCAGTCCCATAAGCTCCTTGTCCTTCCTGGAGGCAGACGAAGCATTGTAATATCATACAAGTGAGTTTTTCTGATTTGCTTTGTATGAAATTTATGACTTATGACATGAACATCATCATCTTCTTTCTGAAATGGAGATGCATTTTTGTAGTTTATGTGCCACTTTTCACAAGTTGTTCTGCTGCCATATCTTGCTTTGTTATGTGCTGTTCTGTCAGGGCATGAACTTGAGTACTTGTGATGACCAAAATTTACATAATCCTGAGAGTTAAGAATAGGAATATGTACAATATATATAAAATGCAACCATTACTGTTTCAAATGCAGACAAATTTAATACAAAACTCCTAACAGATTGAAACAAAGTGTAATTTTTCAAGGAAACATGCCTGTATGATCTGAAAGGAAGAGGGGAAATTTTTGCCAAAATGAAGGGGAACTTCTGTTCTTATTTCAGTGAAATCACAGTGTATTTAAATAAGTTAGGGAGAAGTTTGCTGTTGAATGCTATTATATAAGGTTCATAATTGGTAATTTTTAAATTCACAAGCACCAACATTTCTTTCATCAGTAAGTATTTCTAAACCCAGATTTCATGTACTTCATCACACAATGCAAACTCGTGCCATTAGTGTATATAGGAGAAAAGATTGTTAACAATGTCACTACAATTTTTTTTTATTTTGAAGTACAGAAATGTTGGTAGCAGTGTTTCAAGCTTTTGTCACTTAATCTTCAGGTGCAGCTGTTTAATTGCTGTCAAGTGTCTGTGCAGTTTCACGTATGTTTCATTCTCAGCCACATATAAGTTGACATTTTGTTAGTATTTTAGCTCATTTTTTCTTTTGGTATGTCATTTGTAGCACATGTGCTTATGGTTCATAAAAAACTGTGATATGTGGTGTTTAGTTTGCTGTAGTGTTTGGCTGCATGCATGAAATTTCTTTCAAAACTTGACTTCTTTAAAATTCAGAATTATTTGTTCTCTAAAAGTGAAATGAAGTGCTTAATTAAGACTGTGGATGAAATATTGAACTGCAAGCTCACTCTTATGAAATGTTTTTTAACCTCTAGGTGTGCCGGCACCATTTAGCTCCACATCTGTCACAGGTGCCGTTGGACAAAACATTATTAGATCCTCCTGAGGGTTCACAGCCTCTCCGTGTTGCAGTGGACAGACCTCTGCCTTCACCCATGCCTCCTCCCTCAACTCCGGAGAGTAATCAGGGCCAAATACCGGACAAAGCTCCCTCCACACCAAAATCAGACCACGGTAAGATGTTTTCAGGTATTTAATTTCAGAATTAGTGATATTTAAGGAAGTTGTGATCAATATGTACCGTGCAAGGCACATTGTGACCCCAAAAATGGTTCATGAATACTTCTCGAGACAAAACAAAATTTAATTGTTTTAATTTAAATATTTGGCATATATTTTTTTTACTTTCATTGACAAAAGTGTAATATAATGTACAGATGGAAGTGACTGGATTGAAATGTAATACAGTATTAAGAGTGAAGTTTGAAAAACTTCCTGTAATTCCTACAGCAGATGGCACTGCCCAGTTTTGGAAGTTTTTTCTGAGCCTCAGAAAATTTGCAATGCAAAATGTATCTGTCATTTTGCAGTACTTGTCTCGCAGCACAATTCTTTTCATCAGTGAAACAAATCGTGGACAAACAACGTGTGTACACGGTTATTCATAATTCCCTGACACTTTACAAAAGATCGCTAGACTTGAATGGTGCAATGGATGGTAACATAGGATATGCCGATAGAAAGAGAAACTCTCCAAATTTATTTTACATGCCTCATAAATGCTCTATGTGTCCGCCCTTTGTGACGTGGCAGACGTCAAGCTGATAATCCATTTCTGCCTATACCAACTCCAGCATTCACGATCAATTTGTGAGATGGCAGCGATGATTAATCTTCGCAGGTCAGGGAGACCCCGTGGCCGTTAGTTGAACCAAGATGTCTTAAGGCATTCACTTTGAACACTAATTAGATAAGCCGTAACTAAATAAATGTACGGAACAGAATCCTTAAGAAGGTTAACAGTCCGCTCAGCTAGCCAAATCCCCACCTTTTGTGAAACCCAAAGATTTGTTACTGCGTTTACAAGAGCCCACCACAGCTCCATACCCTGAGCAAAGAAGATAATATTGAAATTGATTTCGGAAAATTGTGTTGGAGGTTGTAGTTTGAATTCTTAGAAAAGCCTTGGGTATTTGAATCTGTAAGGTTGAGGTGATACTGTGAGAACTCCACCTTCATGACAAAAAAGTCTTACAAACTACTGGTCAGAATGCGGGGTTGTGTAATAATGAAGAAATTTTATGTCTCTTAGCCATTTACATGGAATTAAACCAAAGCAGGGGATTGTTTGACTAGCTTGGTAACTATTAGCTTCTCGGTCTCTGTGGAATGTGTTACTTCAGCTCGTGTGTATGTGTTATGTGCAGATGGTGAAGGCAGTTTGAGCAGCCGCGACCCATTGTCCAGTGGCCAGTCGAGTGGAGGTAGTGACAGCAGCCACGACGAGGACGACCAGGAGCCACCAGCCCTGGTGGTCTATCTTGTGGATCCGTTCACAATAGGCAGTGACAGCACAGACCTGCAGAGGTTAGCTTGTCTTGGCCTGCTCCGCTGCTTCACCACTGTTCTCTCTGCTGTTCCAGAAAGTATACGCAACAATATCAGTGTACAGGTATGTTGCATTTTATGAATGTTTTTGCAGTATAAATGTGATAGAGTAAACAAGGAAAGTCTCAAGGCTGCATTTACAGATTGTCCTTAAAATATGTATGTATACTTTATTCACCTGTATGTTTGTTGGCCTCTTGTAGCGTATGCTTGAAGTCATAAATGTTCAAAGTGCCCACCATCAGCATTGCTGGCATAAGGGTAAGTTAAGTCTCATGCCACACTTTGCAGCCTTCTTGGCATGCGGGGCACTGCACAAGTAATGACGGAGAAATAAGCATTGATGACATTTCTCATTTTGTCATGGTAAAGCTGCAGTACGCTATCATGTCTAGTTTAACAGTTTCCATCCACATACGAATTGTTCGTGCATAGTTTGGGATCTTCTGGTGAATTTGGGAGCAGGCAGTGCCCCTGACAGATTGGGAAGGTGACATGCACTCATTGGAGTACATTGATGCCACAACACAGACAGCAAGTTGCTTCGTTGGTAACCACAACTCAAGGACTCGTGGACTACGATCAGTGTGACTGAAGAAATAGTAACAAAAGCAGCAACAGTGTCGAAGGTCGTAGCTGTGACGATGTGATCTGAGGTTGTTGTTGAGGGCCAACAATGACATCAGTTTTCATTGTAATGGTGTTACCCAATAATGATCTTGGCTCCCATTGTTGCAACATTGTGTTCCAGAAAGTGGCCAATCATTCCTCTGGACGACAGGCCATTTTAAATTAACTGGTTCTGTTACTAATTGATTTTCTTGGGTCCACTGCATGGTATGTCATTTGACAGTTTTTCCAAGTTTAAAAAGGAGCCACAGTATCACAATCAGTATGGTGACTGGCTCTGGACTGCAAGACCGGGGTTTGATCCCTGAGGGGGTAGAGGATTTTTCCAATAGCCTCTGCATCCATATTGGCTCTGGGGACCACATGGCCTCCTATCCAGTGGTTACCAGGTTCCTTTCCCAGGGGTAAAGCACAGCTGGAGCATGACACTGACCACTCACCCCCATCTAGTGCCGAAGTTAAGAATGAGTAGGAGCTATACCTCCTCTCGCCCCAAGCGCCTACATGGCGTTTACTGGGACAGCTTTTTTCTTACCGGATTTAAAAGTTGTTTATGTGACAAGTAATTAAATTTTAAAATGACTCATTTTTGTCATATGTATACAAAGCCACTATTAGAATTCAAGTTGATAATCAGGATCATCTTTATTGAAGATGGCCGTCTTCTGGGTTGTTGCGCCATGTAGTCCAGTAGATGTTTACAGACGTGTCAGAGGTCCTTGCTGCCTCCATTGCCCTGATGATGGAGGCACATTCATAGTAATTTGATTGTATTAATCTGTTTATGAAGCATTCTGAGGAGTAATATCTTATTTTATAGCTAATTTCGCTGGAGAGCATTATGGAGCTGGGGAAGTCACGTGATCGAATCAGGCAGAACGATCACATGCGAGCGCAAGCATTCTCCGTGTTCTCTCAGTGCCGCCGCTTGCTTACACACACATCCAACATCAAGGCACTCACTGGCTTTGGCACTGCTGCCATGGCTGATATGTTCCTTAAAAGCAAAGATGTATGTATTAGTTGATTACTGTTCAGCATTTTAAGATACTAGAGCAGAGCGCTCCTTTCGGAGCTCCTCGGGGAGGTTGGTCAAGTTTTTAAAATCTTGAGTAAGAAACTAAACCAACCCCCCCTTCAGGGTTAAAACACTTGACCAACCCCCCCTTCCCCAGGCCCTTTGTCCGTTCACAGCAGATGCTATATATCAGTGAATATGGAGCATTATTGCAATGATATTGACAAGGGGAAGCTAAAGGGCTCTGAGAAAAATCTGTCACAGAGCCACTTTGACCCACATGGGCTGACCTTGGCATGAATCTACCTCCGTAGTGAGAAGCCAGCACCAAAACATATGTAAATGAAACAACATAGAATAATGTGTGCTAGATATACAACTTATATAAATTGTTCTGTAATACCGCCTAGCTGAAGAGGGTGTAATATTCATGGCTGGGATTCTTATGGTTTTTGCAGTGTCTTAGGCTTCTAGCAAATTGAATGTTGTTCGAAGTGTTGAGTACAATCTGTAATTCTTGTGTGTCATTGGAAGAATGGTTAATTAAGTTAAACCGAGAGATAGAAACATTGACAGAAATTCAAAAACAAGGTCATGGGAACATCCATCCATGTATATGTTTAGAGGTGGCTGTGTATAGAAACTATATACCATTATGTTAAAAGGTACATAACTAGGTCTGGTTTTGTTGCAGGAGAAGAATCGAGCTCCTTACCGGCTGTATACGCCTCTCTATGTTTTGGCTCCTGTAAAGGAGAAGACAGAGTCTGGGGAATCGTTTGGTCAGTGTGGCAGTGAGCAGTGTTCTGTGCTGTATGTAAGCTACTGTCTGTCAGAAGATCAGCGATGGCTGCTGGCTGTTGCAACTGATGAGCGTGGGGAAATATTCGAGACTGCGACTATTAATATCGACATCCCCAATCGTAGCCGGAGGAAGAAGGCATCAGCTAGGCGCATTGGACTGCAAAAATTAATGGATTTCATCGTTGGTGTGATGTCACAGAGTGTTCGACCTTGGAGGCTAGTTGTGGGTCGCATCGGCAGGATAGGACATGGGGAGCTGAAAGGTGAAATTTAATGTTGTGTGCTAATATTTCAGCATGTCAACATGTCTGTTCATTTATATTCTTAAGTTAACACAGTTTAAACATTATAGTTGCATGTACAGAGTAAAAAAAATTGCACAAACGCTCTCTGTAGTGTGATCCTTCGTACAAAGATGTACAGTGTCCGTTGTTTAATTTTCAAGATTCACTATCAAATGGGACAATATTTTGGATTGAAAAGTGTAACATGGGCATTGAAGTAACTGAGTTTATTCATGCGGTTCCAGCTCGATTATCTTTGATGTCCAGGGTTAACAGCATGTCTCAGTCTTCTTCATACATATAAATAGCAGCAATAGCTTCTTTGTTGCCTCATTTGACAGTGATGTATCTGGAAAATTGAATGTCAGATGGTGTTTGTGTATTTGGCTGCAGCTCAGCTCGTGCTGTTGCAAAAGTTATACTGATGTTATTGATTGGGTCTGGGGCCATATATTCATGCTGCAGTGTTGAGATGTCTAGATTTGCCAGTTACAAATGAATTCCTGGCTGGAAATTTTTGGAAACTAAATTCAGAAGACGCCAGTGCTATCCTTTAAAATCTCTTGCTACAGGTACTGTTGAGGGAAGCTGTGATGAACAATAATTTCCTGTGACTGATAGATGAAGGCACATTTTGCTCTCCATTATAATGTAACAAACAAAATGTTCTCTGTACAGGACAGTTTGTCTAAAAGGAGCTTGGTTTAAAATCCCTGTTTTTAGGAAGATTTGGAGATTTAGATCAGTGTAAATACAGTGAAACCTCTATCCATCGTTCCCGGAACTATCGTTTTCCCGGATGCATCGTCCGTTTTGTTCGGTCCCGAATACATCCCATATAAAATAATGTTACATTTTCCCGCTTCTATCGTTCCTCGAACTATCGTTTTATCGCATCGATCCTTAAAAAATCTTAGTCCCAGCACACAATTTTCCCGCAATGATCGTTTCTGAGAAATTGTAACGAAATTTACGTGATATTTTTAGAATTTAATTCCGAAAGACGCACAATGTTTTTGGAATAAACAGTAGCGGTAACCTGTTATGTCGCCCAACCAGCACATTCTTTTGGAATGAGGGTCAGCGGTGCAGGGGTGATATTGGAGTGAATGGCGGTGCTCATTGTCAGAAATTTTACGATTTTAATTAGGGTGCACACATATTTCGTTCCAGCGATGCCAGATGGCATGTGCAGTGTGAATTTCTTCACAAATGCAGACGACGAATGCGAGCCCGAAGCTTTGCCGAGTTTTGCCGAAGCGCACGCTGCATTGGCGAAAGTGAAGTCGTTCTTTTATGCGCTTAATATTAGTGAACGTGACGAGGAAAACATTTTGAACGTGGAAAGTGCTCTGTTTGGTCTAAAACGTAAAGTTTTGACAAACCAGTTGTCCATTAAAGAATTTTTTGGTAAAAAGAAGTAACTTTGAAAGAGAAACATTGTTTTTTTTTAAATTTTTAATGCTTTCCCGCATTCATCGTTTTTATTTCCCACCCCCGCCGAAAACGATGCATCGAGGTTTCACTGTACTTTCATTTTTCAATTTACACTTCAGAAACGAGAGATGATCAGCTAATGTCATGCATCACTTAATCAAATCAGGATGAAGGAGGGCTGTGTCCGTAAGTTTTGGGTTTATTCTGGTGGAGTAAATCCTAGGATCTTGTCATGGTTGTCCCAGCCAGTAAAGATCAGAGAAGGGGGTTGATTGAATCAGTTGAGTGTCACATATTGAGCTGTTTCATGATCTGCCATTCAGAAGATTGCTTTTTGTAATAAGCACCTGAGCAAAAGGAAACAATGAACTGCCTTCCTTCATGTCCACATGTATCTGTATACGTAAGTTCAGGCGCCCCACACACACACACACAGAGGAAGAGGAAGTTTGGGGGAGTCATTGAAAATGGTGTTCCTTAATGGGCCCAGTGAGTATTTTAAAAAGTTGTACTTGAATGTGTTCATAAATTATGGTGCTTGTGCAAAATAAACATGATTGTCAAGGCTACATATATGTACATCCTTTAATGTTTTATGCTCTTTATAGGTTGGAGTTGGCTTCTCAGTCGTAAATCCCTGCTGAAGGCTTCAAAGCACTTAAAAGAGATTTGTGAGCAGTGCAACCTCATGTACCCAAATGATGTTCCATGTGTGTTGAGTGCATGTCTCGTGTCACTGGAACCTGACTCGGCACTGCGACTGATGCCTGATCAGTTCACACCAGATGAGAGGTTTAGCCAGACAGCTGTGAACTGCCAACTATCAACACCTCATGATGTGTCTTGCACACATATCCTGGTGTTTCCTACTTCTGCTACAAGTCAGGTATGTTGGTCAGCACGCAGACGCTAATTGTTCATGATAAAAAAAACCTTGTTAATTATAAATGCAAGGGATTAAATTATTTACTTAAAATTAAACATGTTTGAATTGTCTGATGTCATTGCTTAGTAGTTCATCTTCAGATTTCTGCAGTACATGATATAGTATAGGGAGTGAGCAGAGTTGTTTTACATTTATCTGATTTCATTGGTTGAGGCATATGCGGGAACCAGGTGTTTGGTGTTCGGACAAGTTTTGAGCATACAGTGACTCATTTTAAACCTAAAGATGATTATGTTTTGTTTTTTCACTAAGTAGTTTTATTATGTGAACTCTGCCAGAAAATAATTATGGCTCATACCATGTCAGTTCAATGCAGCTCAAACCCCTCACCCCTTTTGATTTCATTTGCAGTTTGCTGTGTTTATAGACTGTATTCCAGTGAGTTAAAATGCCAGATTTTAGCTATCCATGTCTTTTGAGGGTGGGAGGGGCTTAAAATTTAGAAAGCAGCAGCTTTTGATACTGCACAACTTAAAATTCATGTAATTTAGGTCTTATTGACCTGGAGACTTAATTTCAGACACATTTGAAAGCTATTGAAGTGTAGTTTCCATTTTGTAATGGATGTCCACCCAAACAGAGAGAGTAATTTTCATCAGTGAGAGATGAGGTTAAATGTAGCAGTGGTTTATAGGATCTGTTGGCCAGTAATATGTGCCTGCTTTTAAAATACTGCAAGTAATTTATTTGTAGCTGGTGCAGAATATTATGAAACACTCACAAAATGCTGTGTAGTATATAACCATAAATGGTTCACATCTTTAGTTGTTCTTCATTGGGGCAGGATGTGTTTAGCAAGGAACTGTCAGAGCTGCCATTAATATTAGCTACAGGTTCATCATCACCTATACACAGTGAATGTAAATGTTTGCACATCTTGTGCAGTTTAAAATCAGTGTTTGTGGTGACATAAGTTTTCTTTACTTCAGGAACATCTATCTGTAAAACTTAGTTTTCACAGCAACTAAACTCATTAAAATCTTATCAGGCAACAAGCCATATCATTTGTGAACAAAGGCTCAAAATTTCAGAGACCACCTCCACCAAAGGGAATAATGAGATTGACCACTGGTGATGTTTATATGGTTGAAATTTTCAGCTGTACAGCCATTGGTCAGTGGGGAATAATGACCAAACCTGACTCTGAATCATTTGTTAGGTTAGGTTGCACCTGAATTTTGGGTCCAGCACTCAAGATGAATGGGTTCAGAGAGGACACAGAACAGGAACTGAAGTCTGGAATCTTGTGAACTTGAGTGAAACTCGTGGTGCAAATTACACCCATCCCATATCATTGATGTGCATGTGCACACATGCATGCACACCTGTTTAATGAAATGTGAATAAGGGAATATGTAGATTTGGAACCGATTAACACAACATGAAGATGGTCCAAAATTGTTGAGCTTGTCTTGGTAGCAGAGACTAATGCCAGGGCCTCAGCTTATGGGTTCTGTGGTTGGGTAGGGTTTGAATGTAGGTCATGCCAACTAGTAGAGTCAGTCCCTTCCCCATATGAGTCAGAATTAAATGATGCCAATGATTACTTTAGGATGACCTGTCATGCAGCCTTTGGTAATCAGCCTGACCTGTTACCTTTTAGTATAAAGGGCTAGTTTGGTTTTGTACAGGTCCAGTATGGCTGGCAGGGTGAGACCAGGGATGAGGTTACAGGTAAACCTCGATTTGCGCTGATTCAGAATAACACCGCTTTTGAAACCAGCAAGTCAAAAAGGGGAAAAAATATATTTTACTATTATTTATAACGTTTTACAATGTTTCTCGTACTGATTCTTACACTAAATCGTAATTCTTACATCGCTGATTTTGAATAAAAATTATAAATACAGTCACCTCTGCACTCATTGCTGAGTTGTTGCGAGATAATCTCCTAAAAATCCGCCAACATTGCGCAACAGTCACGTGAGCATTGGTTACTCTTCACGGTGAGTCATTTGCTTTCAGCCCGATTAGGGAGTAAGGAAAAATGCACTCAGTTTACCTCTTGTTGACACATTGAATGTGCTGAAAACTGTGCTAAACATGTTTGTGTTGTTGTTCGACCACTATTCTGCAGTAGCAACTGTTTTACATTTATAAACTGTAGAAGAGCCACCATGTCTGGTAAGAGAAGTGAATGTGTTGCTAAAAAGTTGCGTAGGTCTATTGCGTTAGAAGATAAGATGGGCGTAATTCGTAGAATAGAAGGTGGTGATACCCGTCGTAATGTGTGCAGAAGTATGAAGTTGCCTCCTTCCGCTGTGACTACCTTAATGAAAAATTCATATAAAATAAAACAGTCAATGCAGCAGGCTACGAGAGTAAGTGCAACGCAAGTGAGTCAGCGGAAGTAAACTTTTTGAAACAATGGAGAAATTACTGTTGCTATGGGTGGATGACATGAATCGAAAAAACATTCCGTTGACTCAAATTGCTATCACGGATAAGGCAAAGTCAATTTTTGAGGAACTTAAGTCGTCAATGTTTGGGTGCCGGGAACACATGTCATTGACTTCCCATTCATTTACATTATAAAAAGACTTTCAATTTATGCCTTTTTGTTTATAAGACTTGTGAGAGTTGATAGTAGATTTGAAAATACTGCCAGCATAATATGTACTCTCCTGAAAACAAGAGGTAAGTTCATTAATATGTATTCACGTGGAAGAGCTAAGCTATCTAATCTCTTAAATAGAATGCTACAAGAATATCTAGGTTTGATACCAGCTATTAATCCAACAAATTTATTTTGTAAAGTAAGTATCTTTTTTGATGTTACATTAATTACCACCAAAATTATTCCATTCTTCATTACAGAGTGAAAAGAGGCAAAATCAACTGATTTTAGTGTGTACCCTGTTATTGACACTACATGCCCTCATCTGCATACAGCTGAGTGGCAAGAACAGTGGATTCTTGAATATATATAAATCTTTTTGGGATATTACATACTAGAACATGTAGACAAAGCAACATATTTTTAAAAGCTTATTTAAGATGATGTTCTCTTACTGAGAATACAGAACAACAAATTCTAGCCATGTGCAAACACACTGTCTTCTTATAAATACAGTTTAAGTTGAGGGTTTACATTTTATTTGTGTGTTTGGTCGCTTATAGCTTGAGGTGGATATGCTGATTTGCACCAAACTTAGCATGCACATTTCTTGAGACCAGAAAGCGAACAGGCGGGTCAAATCTTTGGAAAAAAAGTGTTCTGAGTCTAGTTGCTGGTGATGGCAGTGCCTGTAGCCTGAAAACTAAGCATGGCAGAAGAAAAGTTTATTACCTCGAAGAGGAGAATACAGAAACGAAGACCACAAACCCGAAAAACTGGCCTGTACATGTATATGGCAAAAGAAAACAATAATATAGGGAGAAAAAGCGATTACAACTCGTCGCTACTGATTGAAACTCTGAAGTTGCAAAGCCTATTATTTGCAAACATGGTAATAATTTTTCTTATATTTATCACATGTTTACGACATCGAAGAATATTTTTAATGCACATCTTTCGTTACGTATGTTTGTATGCTGAGCCATAAATATGAATGCCAACAGAGTCATATTTCGAGGTTTACCTGTATTCTGTTCACTTGGTGTGCATGCCACAGTCTACCAGGCAGACGTTCGCAATTTCCGTCAACAGGGTAACTGGTCTGTGTCGACATCACTGTAATTTTTTGATTTCACCGTCTTTTACAGTCTCCAGAATACTTTTGTTGTTGAACTTTGGATTCAAGTTAGTGCAAATTGCCTGTCACATTGAAAAAAGCGTTTTCCTTCTCTGCAGCCAAGACCTGTGTGGACATTTCACATGATCTTGGGCTTTTTCTTCCAAACCTCACTTTGTATATTAATGATAGCATTCTACTGTTTGCCTCATCTGTCAGTTTTTTCTTTTCCTCTTCTGGAGAGTAAACTGCCACGGGAACCTCACTTGAGATAGCACCATATTAAATGAGAACAGTCACTGAGTATTTTATAAGTTTTATCTGGTTGGTCTTGGTGTGGAGTTTTGTTCATTATGAGTGAAGACAGAATGATACCAGTGATTCCTTTTGGGACTCCCATTAAAATGGAGGTCCCATCATGCAAACATTCCTCATCGTCCTGACCTGTGTGTGTGTGGCCAGTAGGGATGCAATTGAGAATATAAGAACCATTCCAGGCCCAAGTTTCTTTTGGAGGGAGGTTGTGTGAAGTAGATAGATGTGACAGCGAAGAAAGCCTGATGCACATTGAATAGTGTTGCTGCAGCTTCCTTTCCTTTTGAAGTTGTAGTATCAGTTGATATGGATGATCTTTTTTGGTTTAACTGTGATGATGGTAGATGGTGACCCTGGCTTACGGCATATTTGGGATCTCCACGTTGCTCTGAATGTGCCTGTGGTGTTGAGCCTTAAATAGTCTAGAGATTGTTGGAGATGGGTGAATTTAATATCGTACCAGACCAGAATTCTGCTGATTCAGCTGTACAGGCTGAATGTTTTCATGTACCCAGTGTTACTTTGCATGTTTTGTTTTCAGTCTTCTCAGACAGCATTCCAGGAGCAGCACATTAATGACCCGGAGCTTGGTGATGATGAGCTGTTCTCAGCTCTGAATGATGATATGCCTGAAGGAATAGAGGGCATGCAAGACTTCAATGATATATTCTCATGGCCTGAAACAGGGCCTGGTGGTGCTCAGAGTCCCACAGGTAGCCCTCGAAGAGGGGATTCACCCTCGCAACCTGGGAGCCCATCGTGTGGGGTTGGTGGCACCTCAGATCAGCATAGTCCCTTTCCTTGCAATGCATCTTCACGAGTAAGTTTACTGTGTGCAAAAACTTTGTATTATACTTGAGCAAATACAGTATTTTAATATGTACTTCTTTAATACAACCAGTTTTATTACTTTTAAATTTTCAGACTGCTTCAGTACAGAAATGTAACTGACTGATATGTTCCAAATTATTAGATAGAGAGGAACAGATGAAATTGTGATGGTTGCAGAGTTCAAACTACATGAGAGAAAATTGATCTATGTTAGGTATGAAATGAGAGGAATGTCCAGAAACAAAACAAAGTACAAAATGTATGCGTAGCATAACAATCTATGGTGCATTCATCAGAACTTGACTTTTGGCCTTTATTAATGTGGCCACTGTTTGGGGTCAGTTACCTTTGTGTGGACTGGGTGTCTCACTGTGTGATGACACCATTGTGGAGGATCCACCCACTTGGTTGGGGATTCCTGATCCAGTCACTTATTCAATCAGAATTGCATTTTTAGTTTTCTTCAGTCAATCATAGTGAGTTCTGGTGTAGTGTGCTCAGTTTCATTAAAATCACCTTCTCTCCACTCATGCCATGCCATGTCATGTGCTGAATGACCTCTGGTCTTGTAAGTATACTAGTAGTCAGTGTGGAAATAAGTCTGACAGGAGTCAATGTCAGAGAGCATACTGGCCCCCGTTACACATACAACTACTTGCTTTTTGTGCAGAGAAAAACAAACCTGTCGCTTCTGTTTGTGAGTGCACATTACACATTAATTTTAGGAGTTTATCTTTTATTTGTAGGTATTATTAAGTCTTTAAAAATTGCAGATGCATCAGTTATGCCTATTCCTGTCATGTGCAATGTTGCTTCATCAGGAAATATATCTTTGCTCAGATAGTTGTTTCCTCCTTCTGTCTTACGTGCATCAGTACAGCAAATTCAGAACAATATTGCCTGTGAACTTAAGTAACATGCAGTATCATCAATAGCTGATATCACAGATTTTATTTGTACATCTTATGAACAGTTGTCCAGTGAATACCCAGCTCTGAACTTGCTATGTTGATATTTTTAAAAATGAAAGATGACAATGACTAGGCAGTCATTGAATTATAGCTTGGACAGATCTCATATCAAAATACTATACCCAAATTGAGGAAGAATATGCTGTTATTTGTGGATCACAGTTTTCTTTCCCTCCATTTTGTCACATTTAGTAAGTATGTACATTTTAACTATTGGCATTATTTATGTTATTATTTTTTTGCAACTCTTAAGGATGTAATGCCACTTAATTAAATTGGAGAAATGGCCCAAAGGTGGTTTTTACAGGGCCGTGGAGTCGGAAGCAATTTTAGGTGGAGTTGGAGTCGGTAAAAATGTACCGACTCCGACCTCGACATAAAATCTTATGAACACTTTCGCTACTGTGTGGGCCGCCAGCGGCGGGAGATTCAACGACGCGTTGAGCCACATGGTGTGCGATGCCTTGTAACTTTGGCTCCAGTACCTTAAGAATACAAACTGTCTACAAATCAACAGATTTCAGCAATAACCATTAGACATATATTTAAATACTGGGAAACTGGGAACAACCCGTTCTTCAAGTGCCTGAGCACTGCAGTTCCCAACTTTTCGTTGGCTTGATCTATAGACATTCGGTAGGACTCCTTGGACGAGGGATCGGCCCATCACAAGGCCTCTACCTGTACACAGGACAGCACAACACAGATAAACGCAGACAAACATCCATGGCTTGAGTGGGATTCGAAGCCATGGTCCCAGCGACCAAGCGGCACAAGGCCCGCGCCTCAGACCGCGCAGCCACTGGGGACCCCGTATATTTAAATATAGGTTATAAGTCTAAAAAGTAGCCTGATGATTAGCGTGGTGGTGATGAAATCGCTTATGGTAACACTTACCATTTTAGTAAGTTTACCATTATTAATACATATTGAGCTTTCATGAAGGAGTAGGAGTCGGAAATTTTAGTACCGACTCCACAGCCCTGGGTTATTATGTGCTCTTTGCACTTCAGTATAAACAAATACTGTGAACTGAGGTCATTGTCAGATAACATTGCAGCAATGACCATGGATTCCATTGTTTTTCCCTGTTAATGTGGTGTGAAGAACAACTTTGGCATTTCAGTTTACTTCAAAGAGTACACCTTTCCAATCTTGTTATTCTTTCAGGGTGGTGGAGGTCTTGGAGTAGATACTCAAGAGGAAGTTGGGACATTACACCAGCAACCATTAGCACTGGGATATTTTGTGTCAACTGCTCCCACAGGTCGAATGCCCAAGTGGTTCTGGGCCTCTTGCCCACACTTGGAGAATGTCTGCCCAGCATTCCTGAAGAATGCACTGCATCTCCACAGCCCAGCTATTCAACAGAATTCTGATGACCTCCTGCAGCAGCAGTCAGCTGTCACTGTGCACCCTCTAGACTCTCAGTACACTACAGATGTGCTCAGGTAAAAACATTCTTCTCATCCTGAGACAACCAAACGTTCAAGGATTTTAGTCCATTTTCTGTATTTCTGTAATACTGTGAAATGTCTAAAGTCTGAACACTCCTAGCTTCAGAAGCTTCATAGATGTCTCATTGTGGGATTCAGAGTGTTTGTGTATGTTAAGACTTTTTGCTGGGCCAGGTTAGGTTAGGTTAAATCGGGTCCATTACGGTAAGTTAAGACATGTTATGTTCTGTTTACGTTAGGATGGATAGGTGTTTAAATATGAATTTTAAATGTGGGAATTGAAGGTTTAGAAATTTTTAAAATTTGTAAATTTACTTTGTGGGACAAGACAGATGTAATACCTCTAAATGCATGGTGCATAGGATGCATGAGGATATTGTATGTATTTTGGTAATGAATACAATTTATGAGCTTGTTAATTGTTTGACATGAATGTCACAGGTTCTGTGTATGTATCTTAATCATGTTCACAGGTTGCACAGCACCCTTATGATATTTTCCATTAAAATTTCATTTTATAGATCATCATTATGCTTCACACACTTGTACTGCCATTTATTTTCAGAAGTCAGCCCTTTCACTTGTCTTATCATTCCCAATTGCATTCCTTTGAATTTATCTTAAAATATTCTTCATCAGACATATAAGTCTTTGTAACATTTTTAATATCCATGAAATTAATGTGTGTGTGTATTAAGTGAAGTTGGCTGAGAAAAGAAATATTAATATTTTTATTTGTGCTGGATATTTTATTGTAGTTTCATTTCACAGACATTTCCTACATACTTCCATGTACAAGTTATTATTTACCACCAAACGCTTTTGTGCTTCATTATTGTGTATTTATGTTGGTGTGTTTCTTTCTTTACGAGTTTTTGTGACAGTATATTAACAGGTACATAAAAGTGTATGATTTGATGTTTTCACAGCAGTGAGTATGAAGATTTCTGTCTTCTGGGTTCTTGCGCTGTGTAGTATAGTAGATGTTTACCGTTTCAGAGATCATACTGCCTCTGTCATCAGGGCGATGAATGTGCCAATTGGGTGGGTGGGGCTAGGTTTGTAGGAACTGGACCGTGAATGTAGTAGCCTGCCCCAAGCTAATGGGAGCAGGTGTCAAATGAGGCGTGGGTGGGAGGGAGAGAAAGAAAAGAGATAGATGGGTCAAGGTGCAGCCCTTGTGAGGGTCTCGGGAAGTGCGTCCCGTGGGACATCGGGAGTTGGGTGGATATGCACCCAGAATCTCATCCTGAATTATGTAGGTTCAGTTAGGTACTCTCTTACCAGAGATGACAAATAGGCATATTGTAATTGCTTTAAATACTGTATTTGCTAGTAAACCAGTACAGTGATATGAACATATGTTATGCATGGGTAACAATAGAATTCTTTTGAGAATATTAAAACTAAAGATGGCAATTAAATGTTCAGTGAGAGACTAATTGTTCCTTAGAGAAACCAGATCAAGAAATGCCACTGGAGGATAATGGTCACAGAAAATCAAGTATGTTTCTAATATAACTTCAGATATGATTATCGGTACCTGTATCGGAAATTATTTTTTGTTTACACAAATTCAAAACAAATTTTTGATTTATTTCAGATATGTCCTTGAAGGTTATAATGCATTATCGTGGTTAGCACTGGACTCAAACACACGAGACCGTCTGTCCTGCTTGCCAGTACACATCCAGGCTTTAATGCAGCTCTACCACATGACTTCTGCATTAGTCTGACCTACATAGTTGCATAAGACAGTGTAGTTTTTGAATGAAGTATGTCCCTGTGCATCCAGTGTTCATTAGAGGCAAAGTATAGCCATGTTTGTGGTTGTGCCAACAGGTGAATGAATGTCTTAGAAGAAAATACAAGTTAAATTCTTAAATTTCAATAGGAGGAAGAGAGACTTGCCCACACAAGATGGTCTCAGCAATAATCTGTTACATTATAGTCTTAAGTTTCAAAACTGTGGTGGTGGAATGTGGCATTTTAAGCCACTGTAAAAGTGAAGGAAAGCAAATGTGGTTCACGTTAAATCCTCTCCCAAGGAAGCTGACAATCATGATGATACAATTATAAGAAATCAACTATTGTTAAGTGGAGAAGTCTGCATTATTTTTTTGACTGGCATGCAAAACTGTAGCCAAAGATTCACAAAATATTCTACATTGTGTATATTTTGTGGGGGACAAATAATAAGAAAGCAATCCAGTCACTGTGAAAAGTAACCAAAGGCAAAATAATCCATTTTATATTTTTCTGTTTTCTTTTATGAAATATGATGGGAATGAAATCAGAGTATAAAAATTGTCTAGTTTATTAGTTTTGAAAAACTTTTTTGTTATTTATTCTTTAGGTGAAATTGAGCATGCTGAATAAAATAGTGGTATTTTAAGCAGGGGGCCAAATCATTTTATGAAGTGTGCTAGCAAACTGCCAAGCAAAAACACATGAACTGAAACCATTTTGCATATTTTAGGGGTGGTTAAACATCAAATGACAGTAAAAATTTGTTGAAACCAGTTGTGATGGAGGGTGTTACGTTGTGATCGAGATACTACAAGAGTGTGTTCTGAATGTGGAAAGTTGTGATTTATTGTAAGAGTTACATCAGTTGTCCATGGCAAAGGAATCTTTATTTCCTGTGATATGGTACTTTGCCTCGTGATTTCATCAGCCAGATGGACTGCGCCGGTGATTATCTCCAGCCCCCTTCCAGATCATTTTGGAAGAAAAAACAATTGACAGAGCCTACTCACAAAATCCATACCACCTAAGTGAATTTGTAAAGACATTATTAGCTTTTATTTCTTCAGTTTTTACATAATTTAGGGAAATGGGAAGTCTTGTATTATAACTACCACATATAAATATACATATAACTTTATATATATAATTATCTATATATAAACAAATTATATATATATATCATATATTATGAAATAGTACAAACTGTTGCTTGATGTTAATCGAGTAATTAGTTTACCCCTTCAGTTGGAATGTGTCCTGTTTTGTATATATCAATATTGAAAGTTTGTGTGAATGGGTAAATATGTGAATGACTAGTTGTATATTTTATGGTGTACATTTTGTACAGATGACATCTTCTAGTTCTAAAAACTGTGTAATACTGTTAAACATGTAGCACTTGAGGTTGATGGAAAATGCCATTTTACAGTTAGAAATTGTCTGGGGCATCACAGTTTGTATATTTTAAACTTTTTTTTTATAAGAAAAGACTGGAAGTGAGCACATTAAGTTTGTGTGCAACTGTTAAGGAGCTGATCAATGAAATTCAAATGGTTTGTGACTTTTGTCCTTGTTCCTTTATACAATCTTCTCCCTTTCGAAGTACAATTGTAAATTATGGGTTCATATGGGTGATGTGCCATGTATGACATGTCATAAGAGTGTTTCCTTGTGTAAAAAGACCAACCTGTGTAGAATATGTTGCAGAGAATTATTTATTTTGTATATACATAACATACATAATGCAAATATTTGATGATTGGTCTGTTTACGCATCCTGATCCTTCTCCCCAAGGAAGAAATGTACAAAGATTAGAATCCATCTACTCTGTTATGTAATCACTACAGAATGGGGGTACTTGTTGAGAATACATTTTATGAGGGGGAGAGACAGTTGCCAAAGGCAGCTGGGCTCATTCCTGTTTGTTATTATATACCTGATTCTTTTACAGTTATCAGTTAACCCTTTGTGGTAAAAAAATGTACATAGTTATTACTTTTTTTTGCCACAGGCATATGGAGTACAGTAGAGATACATACCCATTGTCCCTTCCGTGTTCATCTGTGTTGAGCAGGTGTAAAGTCAGTGTAAAAGCGAACCTCTGCAGGGATTAACCAGGAATTGTAACTGAAACAGTTAAATTGAAAGAAGATCCAGTGTTCAAAAAGTAATAAAAATCCTTCATGAAAACATACTTTTACAGAATGAATAAAAACTGCTGAAAATACTAGCTTGTTCCCCTCTTTTTTATGACACATTTA